AACCCACAGATTTTATTTGTGAAAGAACTTAGGCTTTCACTGGTCTCTAAATACCAAGGTGTTGCATGGCAGGAATTATAACAGGTATGTTTTATGTTTATTAGTAAACTTTGGTATCAGGGAAGGCAGTCAATAAAACCGTTATTAATGTTTTTTCTTCGGAAAATGTTTAAAAAAGGAAAATCAACGATCATATTTTTAAAAGGTAAACAGCACAAAGCAGTTTCTTTTTAAGAAGTGTGCTCTTTAACATCAGAATCCACCGGGGTATTTTGTTTACGAATATGAAATTAAAAAATCTTCCATGCCTAAATTTCATAAAAATTCTATCTATATATGAAGAATATTAAACTGGCATTTAAAAAGAAGAAATAAATGTAAAGAGCTTTATTGAAACCAAAAACATTTCATACCCCACTGAACTGACTTTTTAACACGGCGTAGATCAGATTGATCAATTTACAAACGTTTCTTTGTAGATATATATTGGATTTCTTCATATATGGGCTTAACACACACATGTCAAACATGGATGCGTTCTTCACGTAATTAAAGGAAGAGATATCGGAAGATTTTAAGGTTTGTATACCTTTTTTACGACGGGTTTGTAAAATATTTTCTTGTGACCAGTGCAACATAGATCATGCTTTTAAAATATCACCAACTTCGGTATACAGTGATTTTGTAGTAACAAAAAATTAATTATACTCTTTTTCTTATTTTCCTAGAATTCTGAAGATGGAGGGGGATGTAGAAAATACAACAGTCCTTAATGGAAGTGAAAGAGGTGAACAGCCAGAAGGTAGAGATAAAAACTTGAATACAGAAAACAGCGAGAATGAACAAAGAGACAGGAACTTTCAGAATAAAAATGATGAATGTCAACAAGATTCCCAGGAGTTGAAAACAGACTCTGAGTCATTGAGAAAAATGAAAGAAGAAATGGAGAAAATGCGCCTCGAAGACCAACGTAAAGAAGAGATTGCTGCAGCCATATACAAACGAGACTTCAAACGAGAACGAGCTAAAATAGAGGAGGAGACAAAAGCTAGAGGATACATGTTTAATCCCGACATCCGGGACATTAAAGGTGCTATTGCAGATATTATGAATGAAGAGCGAACTTTCATGTTACAAAGACAGATCGATGCTTTAGACAAAGAGGAGAAACAAATGCAAGCGGAGATAGATAAAAAGTATGGACTGCTTTTCTCCAAAGAGGGGAGGCAGAACTTGACTGACCTCGCCGATAAGTTCTTCTCTTTACCCGGAAATGCAGGTCTCCCGGAACACATTACAAGATCACTGACGTCAGAAGAAATAGCAGATCTCAAGATCGTGTTCGATATGTTTGATGTGAAAGGGAAAGGGTAGGGCAATTTAATTTGAAAACTAAGAAATTAATACCGTTGCAAATCCTTGCTTTTGACCTTTTTCACCTAGATTACCATTTACGTTGTTGCCGTTTACAGATATATCAATGCTACCGATCTCAAGAAAGCGTTGGCTATGCTTGGCTTTCGAGCATCAAAACCAGTACTGGGCAACATGATAAGTATGTCTACATGAATAATTTATTATCAACTTACAATTAATTTCAATAATTAAGTTTCGTGCAATTTTTCACGTAACACACATGGCACGTCATTTCCTTACACAATGTTTTACAGGCGAAGTGGCCGGAGAGAACAAAGTCAGGGTGACATTTACCAACTTTTTAGATTTCGTTGTTAAAAGTCAAGGTGACGGGCCTGATCCGTATGGAGATATTAAACAGGTATATTTTACTTGATATTTTTAATTATTTTTTAAGAATAATAATAAACTTTCGGCTTTATTCAATCTTGACGTTTTTGAATCAGGCATTTGAGCTGCTAGACACTAAAGGCACTGGTTTCCTGACTCTGGAGGATTTGAGAGAGGCTTCCTCGGAGTGTAGCCTGAACTTTTCGAACACCGCCCTAAGGGAGATGATCCAGGAGGCAGATAAACACGGGGAAGGTAAAATCAGTCTGCAGGACTTCACCGACATTATGTTACAGACCAGCAGGTTCAAGTTCGCCTCCATATGATGTCAAAATTCACAGAAAATGGAGAAGTAAAATTAGTGAGCTGTCTTCACAAAATTACAAGAGGAGGCTACAGAAAGTTAAAGCTGGAATGATATTAAAGAAAAAAAAAACATTGTATAACTGATAATTTTATTCACAGTTTATATGAATGTCAAGAACACCGTAACGTTATGTTTACAATCATAACTTTTTACAGTAAACATGTTTATATGACCTGAGTTACATGTACTGACTTTTCTTTTAGTTTCATGTACTGACTTTCTTTTTCTTTTTGGACTTTTTTGAAGTCGAGCTAACGTCCGGTGACTTGGTGTCCCTCCTTGTACCATTTCTGGAGGCGCTAGGTGTCCTTTCACTTTTCTTCCGGTTCAATTTTCCATCTTTTATCTCTTTGGTGTTTAACTGTGACATTATCTCAACAACGTCTCCTGCAATATACATGTAATTCAGGATGATAAATTCCGTTAAAGAGGGTTATTAAATTAATAGTTTTAAAGAACGAAGATCAACATGTATTACAGATAAAAACCACTTTACCTGCCTTCTCCTCTGCTATTTTTTGTTGCTTTTTATCCCAGTGCTTCAATTTCCCTTCCAAGTAAAAAAATAATGAAAAAACTGAAAAGGGTAGGGAAAATTTTGTAGTTTTCTTCTCAATGTTTGAATTTCTCTTAATTAAAAATAAAATTTGTTTATTGATTTTAAACAAATTTTAACTTCCATCAAAAACAATGTGTCATCTCATTTTAAACTTTTATCGGGATTCAAACACGGCTTGGTCATGTGATTTAATTCCAGAAGGCCCAAAGGGAAGAACATATATGTAGAAACCTACGTTCTAGAAACTGGTACTTCTTTTCCCAGTCTTGTAACAGTGGAGTGATCTTCTTGATAGAATTGTCTTCATACACTGAATTAACAAACAAACGATTCAAATAGAGAATTCAACGAAATAACGATCAAAAGATACAATGTTGATCATAAAATAAATTTTACTGTTACATCTTGATTTTTTTTAAGCAATTAATCAAAAGTATCTATGTCATTCTTAATTCCGCTCTTCTATCAGCCATCCCGACTCAAGAATCTTAATTCTGTATGAAATGAAATTATTTACATACCAGTAATCGTTTATGTGATATAATATTATATATTAATTTATGATTTTCAATTTCGGAAAAATAATATTCATTTCAATAGGTCAATATGGGCGTCTAAATCAGTTGCTTCTTTTACATCGGTATCACTTTAACTTTTCAATTGTCAATTTGCCTTGCTTATGCAGCAAAGCAAAACATTCATACCCTCATCACCTGCATATTGGGCTAATACCTCTCAGTTGATGCGATACGTAAGAATATGCTCTTCGTATGAAAAATTGCTAAAAGAAGGTGAATTATTGACAAACAAGCTTAAAAAACAAGAATATCAGCAATCTCGTTTAAATACAATGACCATACTGGATGTTATGTCATTATTTACACACTGAATTGTCGACAATTTTGCCGTTATTTCCCGGCCAATCATGACAAGAAGCAAAAGGTAGTCGACAGGGGATGTTCACTCCTCCATGGCACCTGATCCCACCTCTTATGTTTCGGAGGTCTTTGTTTGTTCTACTTAAGTTTTTTATTGTTTAATGGACATTAATTATAGCTTGAATACTGTTAGTTACCTCCATTATCCATATATGTTTTATGGAATGTTTAGGCCCAGAGTGTTAAATTTATTACTCCTTACAGTACCAATTGTTCAGTTGCAAGTTACTTACGCTCTATAGATGCCAAGATGTACACGCCCCGAGGGACAAACATGGAAACGACATTCTCGGAAGGGGATTTGGTGAAAAGCTCGGACGCCCAGGCATTTTCGTCGATCAAGTCGACAACATCTGTATAATGTTAAAGGAAGAGAAGAAATAATGGATAGAGTTAAATGAACACAAATAATGGTTATTGCTAAACAAATAGAAGAAATTATGGTTGACTTTAACTTAAATAAATATCTTTTTAAGATAGGATTCTTCTCCCACAAAACTGTTTTCCTTGTATTTAAAAAATAATGAAATTTTCATAGAATCAAGAAGACAATATTACTAAATTTTGGTATCAGTTAGATTCGTTTTGACCGTTTTTTATTAGAGTCAAGGTCAGGTCAAGGTCATTACCTTTTCCCTGAAAATTAAGAACCAGAAATCTCTGTCGAGACTGTAGCTCTACTGGTTTGTACTTATAACAAAGGATGAGAAAAGAAGCCATTGCCATCAGACCAAAACTGTAGGATGACTAGCGTTTTAAAGGAATTTCAAAAAAAATTCAATTTTGAGTAACCATGGCAACATCGTTCGTCAAAATTAAAATCCAATGCACTATTTTATGTATCTTAGTGTAGTCTACTTGTGTGCCAAGTAATACTGAAATCAAATCAAAACTGTAGGAGGAGTAGCGTTTTAAAGAAATTTCAAAGAAAATTCTATTTTTAGTAACCATGGCAACACCGTTCATCAAAATAAAAAACAAATGCACTATTTTATTTATCTTAGTGTAGTCTACTTGTGTGTTACGTAATATTGAAATCAGACCAAAACTGTAGAAGGAGTAGCATTTTAAAGGAATTTCAAAGAAAATTCTATTTTTAGTAACCATGGCAACACCGTTCACCGAAATCAAAAACCGATGCACTATTTTATGTATCTTACTGTAGTCTACTTGTGTGCCAAGTAATATTGAAATCAAATCAAAACTGTAGGAGGAGTAGCGTTTTAAAGGAATTTCACAGAAAATTCTATTTTTAGTAACCATGGCAACACCGTTCAAGGAAATCAAAAACCGATGCACAATTTTATGTATCTTAGTGTAGTCTACTTGTGTGCCAAGTAATATTGAAATCAGATCAAAACTGTAGGAGGAGTAGCGTTTTAAAGGAATTTCAAAGAAAATTCTATTTTTAGTAACCATGGCAACACCGTTCATCGAAATCAAAAACCGATGCACTATTTTATGTATCTTAGTGTAGTCTACTTGTGTGCCAAGTAATATTGAAATCAAATCAAAACTGTAGGAGGAGTAGCGTTTTAAAGAAATTTCAAAGAAAATTCTATTTTTAGTAACCATGGCAACACTGTTCATCAAAATAAAAAACAAATGCACTATTTTATGTATCTTAGTGTAGTCTACTTGTGTGTTACGTAATATTGAAATCAGACCAAAACTGTAGAAGGAGTAGCATTTTAAAGGAATTTCAAAAAAAAATCAATTTTGAGTAACCATGGCAACATCGTTCATCAAAATTAAAATCCAATGCACTATTTTATGTATCTTAGTGTAGTCTACTTGTGTGCCAAGTAATACTGAAATCAAATCAAAACTGTAGGAGGAGTAGCGTTTAAAGAAATTTCAAAGAAAATTCTATTTTTAGTAACCATGGCAACACCGTTCATCAAAATAAAAAACAAATGCACTATTTTATGTATCTTAGTGTAGTCTACTTGTGTGCCAAGTAATATTGAAATCAGACCAAAACTGTAGAAGGAGTAGCATTTTAAAGGAATTTCAAAGAAAATTCTATTTTTAGTAACCATGGCAACACCGTTCACCGAAATCAAAAACTGATGCACTATTTTATGTATCTTAGTGTAGTCTACTTGTGTGCCAAGTAATATTGAAATCAAATCAAAACTGTAGGAGGAGTAGCGTTTTAAAGGAATTTCAAAGAAAATTCTATTTTTAGTAACCATGGCAACACCGTTCATCGAAATCAAAAACCGATGCACTATTTTATGTATCTTAGTGTAGTCTACTTGTGTGCCAAGTAATATTGAAATCAGACCAAAACTGTAGGAGGAGTAGCGTTTTAAAGGAATTTCAAAGAAAATTCTATTTTTAGTAACCATGGCAACACCGTTCATCGAAATCAAAAACCGATGCACTATTTTATGTATCTTAGTGTAGTCTACTTGTGTGCCAAGTTATATTGAAATCAGACCAAAACTGTAGGAGGAGTAGCGTTTTAAAGGAATTTCAAAGAAAATTCTATTTTTAGTAACCATGGCAACACCGTTCATCGAAATCAAAAACCGATGCACTATTTTATGTATCTTAGTGTAGTCTACTTGTGTGCCAAGTTATACTGAAATCAGACCAAAACAGGAGGAGTAGCGTTTTGAAAAATTGTTTACAGACAGACGGACGGACGACGGACACCTTACTATCGCATAAGCTCTTCTGGTCTCTGACCAGTAGAGCTAATAAAAATGACTGTATCCAATTGTGCGATAGGGTCATGTATTTTCAAAGATTAAATAATTTTCTTTTTGCATTAAAAAGATATTACCATATTATAAGGACTATAAGATGATATTACCAAATTGACACAATGGATTTTGGCTAATCCGAATTTTCTCTATTTTTCTTAATTTTTAGGAAATATAGGCTATTTTATATGCGTCCTATATTAATTTTTTTCTTATTTTCACATTTGTTAAAGAAGTCATATAGAGATACAAAATGATACAAAATCGTTTTGACCGTTTACCTAGAGAGTAAAAACTAAAAACACTTCCTATGGATTTTTGGTTCATATCTGTACTTAGATTGGAAGCTTTTAAAAGCTAACATAATTGTAGTTTGTTTGGAAAATCATATTTATATATTTTAAAAATTTAGTCCCTTGTTATTAATTTAGCTAACAGTTGAAAAATTCTTCTCGTCTTTGATTGTGTAAAAATTATAACTAAATTCGTTGTTCTGTAGAGGCATAAAAGAAGATATTTTCATACGCCACCGTTCCGCCAACAATATGGTCCCTGCTTGTTTTCGAACACAATATGCCATTTCTATTTAAAGTTGTGCAATTGTGATGAGAAAAGAAAAAAATATGGTCTTTTAAATCTCTTTCACCATAATATATGACATAATATTATAAGCAAATATACATTGAATGTTCCTTCTACTCAGAAACCACAGAAGAATCCTACCTTAAAATGCACGTGTTTGAATAAACCCTTTGATAGAAAGATGTTTAATAAATCCTTATATAGTTATTAGGATAGATTATTACATTATTAAAAATTTAAACAGAAGAAATAAAAAGGAGGGAGGAATTTATTTCTATTAAGTACTCGGTATTATTTTTTTTTAACATTTTCTTGCAGACAAATAACAAATGTAGCTCAATACCCAAAGTTTGTTTTTATATATGCTTTAAAACCCCTCCCATTAAGACCCCCCAACCCCCCGACCCATCAAAAAATCTTAAATTAAATCATTGTACTCCTTCACGGTTTAAAAAAAACCTAATTCCTCGAATTTTGATTTTGATGTTATTACACACGCAAACGTTTGATTCCCATCCACACTTTACATTCATATCTGATTACCACCGTACAAAAATTACCTTACCTGTGGGACTGATTTTGCATTGTGTTCTGATGTAGTCCAGAAAATGTTTGCAGGAACAGTCAGGGTTTACAATTACATTTTCATTTTCTGGAAAAAAGAATTGCATGATGGAAATAACGAACAGTATTCAAGCTTAAAAATCCACCTCCAAAATTTCAAAGGTGGGATCAGGTGTCAAGGAGGAGTGAGCATCCCTTGACGACCGGTCACACCCACCGTATGTTTCTTGTCATGATCGGGAATAAATTCGTCGACAATTCACTGTGTATATTAATGGCCAAACAATTACATGTATAGTATGAAAAACGTCAGTCAGCATTTGACTAAATGATAAATTGTATTTGATGACAAGGTCATTGCATGTATCGACCATAGAAATTACTAAATGATGACTTTAAACGAGACTGTTGATATTCTTGTTTCAGCAACTTGTTTGTCAATACTAGTAATTTACCTCGTTTAAGAAAATGTTTATACGTAGAGCATGCTCTCACGTATCGAATCAACTGAGAGAAATATTAATAAACCCCGTTTGCAGGTGGTGAAGGTATACTGCTGCACAAGTAATGGAAGTTGACGACTGAAAAGTTAAAGTCATCACGTTTATCACATTTTCAAGTAAACTATCTAAATAAAAAACAGCTAGATGGCTCAGATTCTGTGGTAGGCTATCTTTTATTTCAAGCTCACCGGGATATTTCGTATCGACATAACTCATAAGAAAATAGAATAAAAGCTTCGTAGGTGAAACAATACAATTACGCTGAAAATAACGATCAGTAATCGTGCGCAAAAATCCAAATTATAAGCGGAATCAGAACGGACCCCAATCTGAAAAAAGAGTGGGTAGTTCTGTAAAGAAAAAAAGTTAAATTAATTCTTAAAACCTACCTCCATATTCGACAATAATGAACGTCATATTTCTTGGTCTTGCGACGTCATATCACGTCACAGATTAACGAAATATGACGTCATAAACACTTGACTGGAAAGCCTAGGAGTAGAACGTCAGGGAGAACTATAAAAATTTCGAGTGGAAGGGGTCGCTGGCTGATTTGGAAAATAATCAAATTAATAATCTGTCCTAAAAAATGTTGAGAAAAAAAATTGCCCTTATCATCCTCTTGAAATTAATTTAAAATCTCTTATTGACTGACATAAAAAAAATATAAATAATATGACTCGAAAATGGTCGTCCCCTCAAACTCTAGTTACGACAGATTATTATACGTCGAGAGTTTGAAATCAGGTTTCGGATATATCGCCCTATAGACGATGTGTATGTTATGAAAAAGTCCCAGTGTTGTAGAGTAGGATTTCCCCCATAGACCCCAACCCCGGATCTATACCATCGGCGGATCCAGAGGGGGGTGTTGGAACCCCCTTTATTTTTGCAGAGAGAGAGAGAGAGAGAGAGAGAGAGAGATTTTATGCATTTTTATGTCTAAGATTTATATATAGGTCCTACAGAACAGAACATTCAATTTCTAATTTAGAGCCCAGAACAGAACAGACAAGTATGAGATGATTATGTACAACTATTTAATAAGGAAAAGATAAGCCAATGAATAGCAAGTAAATGACTTATTTAAATTATTTGTGTGCAGAAACTATGCAGTTTGACCAGATGAAAAAATAAAATTAATGCATCAAATGTTGGGCATGCAGTCACTTAGAATTAATTAACCATTTTGAAGGAGGGAGTCTTACATGTAACAATGTATATCGGGGTCCCTCCCCATCATATAAAGTATAAGTTAAGCCATATATAGGGGCTTGTTCACGGCGTGCAATAATTATTTGGAGACCGGTCACGGTAGCCTAGTGGTAGAGCGTTCGCTTCGTGATCGGGAGGCCCGGGTTCGATTCTCGTTCGCGGCGCCGCGTCATACCTAAGACGTAAACAAAGGTGTAGTGACTGTTCCTTCGCCAAGCGCTCGGCACTAGAAGTGAAAGTCACGGGTCTTTCGGATATGACCTTAAAAACGTAGGTCCCGTGTCACGGTAGGCGCTGGCACGATAAAGAACCCTTACTGCTCAATGGCCCTGAGTGCCGAGTATAGGTCTAAATTTGAAGCCCTTCACCGGCATTCGGTGACGTCTCCATATGAGTGAAAAATTCTCAAGAGGGATGTTAAACAATATACAATCAATCAATCAATCAATCAATTATTTGGATTTAACACAGTTTAAAAAATAAAATCTTATCGATAATAAATATTTTTTTTAAATAAAAAAAATTATTACACACCCGGGCGGCAAGTCCCTGTGACCGTGATTAAGCTAGGATATTTTATTTGTGCAGACGATTTCTCGGAGATGACTCGTTCGATTTTATCCAAGTTTTCATGATTGATGTGATATCTGAAGTTAATTCCGGTGGGTCTTTTTAGGGATATGATATGTACTTTCAGTCGAGAGTTATCGCCCTTTTATCAAAATTCAGACGACCTCCTTGTCTGTGATGTAACCATAGACCTAAATCAAAGACATAAAACTAGAGCGCTGAAATTTTCAGTGATGATAGAGGACGCTGTTAAAATTGGCGATGTTAAAATATCGCACTTATAGAGTACGTAGAATTTTGAAAGGGACATACAGGAAAATTATTGCTGGGATGGGGAGGGGGTTAGAAATCATCATGTTCATGAACGTAAATTTACATGTTGGGGTGGATGTCTTCCATCATAGGAAAAAAACCCCATCATCATCAAACGTTTCTGCTTTCTCAACATAGTCACTTATTTAGGTTTCAAAGAGTTTCGTCACGATTAACAATGCCCATGTTCTCAAATGAATAATAAATATATACAATTTAATACAAATATATTTATTGGCGCAAATACAGTTACAATATATTGGCAAAGGCACAGCATAAAAGAATCATCAATTGTTCAGAAATTAAATATATTTTTTTTTAACAATTAAGATGGGGAGTGCCTATGGTTAGAGACATAGAATAGATCTAATCTATATGTCTCGGGCCTAGTTCTAGTATAGTCTCCTTTACCCCAGACTCTCGCTCTCGAGACTTTGCCCGTTAGCTCGGGCAAAGTCTCGAGAGCGAGTCGGGGGAAAACGAGACTAGTTCAAAACGTCAAGTTCGATAACTCGTGAAACGCAAGGATGAAAACGAAAGTAGGTTTCCAAATATCGAACGAATTTTGAAAAGGCCGATATTGTTCTGGTTACCTATGGAATCAAAAGAAAAACATGCGTTCAATAGCTTTTTTTTTGACAGAAGTTCGATAACTCGTGAAACGCAAGGATGGAAACGAAAGTAGGTTTCCCCAAATATCGAACGAGAAAAACCAAATGGCAAATAGGCTTTTTTGAAAAGGCCGATATTGTTCTGGTTACCAATGGAATCAAAAGAAAAAAAACATGCGTTCAATAGCTTTTTTTGACAGAACCGGTTTCAAAGTACACCTACGCTTGCGAACTTTAAACTGAGTGCAAGGACATGCATCTGATGATCATTATCACCAAGGCTTTACAACCGAGAAGTTGTGGCAAGACGGCAACTGACTGCATGATAAACTACAAGATGAAATTGAAAAGTTAAATAAAACATCATAGTATGGATGACATTGACTTTGATTCCCCCAATGTTGGGATCAGTGTCACTCACATTGATCCATGGGACCCGATTCGCCGCGCACTTTCCGAGGAATTGGACGCCGATACGAGTCTTTTACAAGAAGTCTGCCAACGGGCAGTTCAGGACCTGGGGCCTGTATTTTCGCAAGTTCAGAACGGTGTCGGTTTTTTTACTGCTCTTGAAAACAACTTGAGTGACGACAAAGGGTTGCTTCTTGATTATTTAATAGCCTTAGTAGATATTGTTAATTTACATAGACGCCAGGGAACCGAACCATTCAAAAATGTTTTACTGCAATATAAAAACCAGTTAACGAAATACAGAGAAGACTGTGCGAGGGTCTCCAAATCTAAGGATGAGGAATTCATAGGAAGAACAGAAGATCTAAAAAATATAGAGGAAAATCTGAAAGGAGACAAATATCAAGGTTAGCAAATTCAAATAAAATCATAACTTTAAAAAAATAATATTAAAAAAATGTCCATTTAGGAATAATACCCACCCCCCGGGGCCCCTCACAAATTTATAGACATTCAGTATTGTGATCCAGATAAGTTAACTGCATATGATATGTCCATTAATTTAATTGATTTTGTACTTTAATTTTAGGAGTGGCAATATGTGGAATGGGTGGCATAGGAAAAACAAGCTTGGCCACTGAAGTCTGTTACAGACTGCAGCATGCAAGAGAGAAATGGCATGTCAAGACCATTGATATGAGGTAAGCTACATATTTTACAAAATCTAGAATTAAAGTTAAATATTTGTTATGTTTTGACATAGTAGTAGATAATGTAAAGTAATAGACAGTTATATTTTACCCCTTGATGATATTGATATCACAAAATTTAATCTTTTTTGGAAGACAGCTTTTAAGAGAAATTGATTGTATATCAGTGCTTTTTCCTCTGACATGGGGACTTTTGAAGGTTCATTCAGTGTGTACCTCTTTTTTCAGAGAGAAGGAAGATTTGGTGGACTTACTGCGAGATCTGGTTGCAGCAGTGGGACAGGAATGTAATAGTGCAGAAGTACAAGACTTGTACTCAGAATTAATCACAGGACTGAGAGGATTGAAAGCCAGTAAAGTCTTTTTTTAATACTTGCATATCTTTAATATTAAGAAAATGAGGGAGAGATCAATACTTTATTGTCAGTACTGTAATCTGGTCACATCAATTGCTCTGGGTAGCTCTGGGTATTGTAAGTTATCAGGCGTGTAGCAAGGCATATGCAAGGCTTTGCCCCCTCCCATCAAGACTAGTATTTTACACATTCATTAACATTTAATTGATTAATGCCACGTCTTTAAATTCTAGGGACAATTTTCTTCATGGATAATTTGGATGATATGATGAAAAGCAGTCAAAGAAAGACTGATTTGCTAGATGTTTTGGAAAGATTCACTTTGGATACAAAATCACTAGATACAAAGGTAGCCAGTGTTATTTCAGTAATTTTTTCTACCCATTTTGAATAGGAATCACAGCTTCAAAATAGATCTAGGACAAAGGATAATACCAAAATTAAAGAAAGGAGAGCAAAAAACAAAACATGGATTTTTAATTTCTTATAAACAGATATTGCAGAATAAATATATAAGATTTGAAATTATTTTTATGAGGATAAACTGAAGAGGTATTTCTTCTTAAACTTTCCTATAAAAAGTATAGTACTGTATATCAAAAGTTAAAATTACAATTACATGTACATAGCTCACATTAAATACTTATTTTTATATTGATTAATTCTTGCATGGTATGCACTTTTAAAAAAAAAATATATATTTTCATCAGTAAATTGACATTATTTTGTAATTTATATGTTACAGTAAATCTAGCTTTGATTGTAAATATTATTTACCCAAGGTCTATTAAGATTGTTGTCATATGGAGTAGTTTCAAAGAAAGCATACAGTTTTTTGAACTCTTTGATTCAATGATTTCAATCCCGAGGATTTTAAGTTGTTGTTCATACCCAAAGTTGTGCTGTTATTTAGATTAAAGTTTCTTCATCAAAGCTAATTTTTGGGAAAAAACAAAAATGTTCTAATAAGATGTGTTTATATGCTGACAGGTTCGAATATTGCTAACAGTGAGACAAAAATTAGTAACTGAAGAGAAACTGAACATGACAATCACATTTATCAGAAAGATATCTAGAAGTGCTGAAAGACTTGGTCAGTTGTATGAGGTAGAACTACAAAGGCTGAAGCAACATGATGGTGTTTTACTGTTTAAAGCTTGTTGTAGAAGACCATTTATGGTAAGTTTAAGTTAAGCTTTAGTTTAAACAGGTCTTTCTGGTAATGGTAAAGTTACTAAAAAGATGTGTAATCCTATAGCCAAAATGATAGATCATTCGAATTG